GCCCCCCCCCCCCTAGTTGCCCGCCTTCATTGTATAAGCCTTTTGAAAAATGTACTATAGGACAGTAAAAAATAATAAAAAGTTAAGCTTCAGTTAGAGGGACTTTCATTTTTCCGTATACAACTTTTGTTTTTTATAGCACTTAGCTTCTGGCGACTGCAAACTCGATATATACAATGTAAACTTCACAAATTTAGGAATTAGGTTTAATTCCCTAAACGTACAGGCAAGGATTAAATTATATATTCAGCGGCCAAGCGAAATTAAAACCGTCTGAGCGCTATAATGCTATACATATGAAAGATACAAAAGTTTCGGTAACCGCCAAAAAAGTCCTTGGAAAAAAAGTTTCAGGAAAAAAGTCCTTTTATTAAAAAGTCTCCGGAAATAAAGTCCTACCAATTCTAGACTTTATTTTCTAGGACTTTTTTTCTGGCTCCAGTATGATTTTATACAAAAAAGTCCTCGGAAAAAAAGTCCTCTAACAAGTGAAAATGCATGATTCACAATGGAAAAAAGTCCTTTTTTCTAGGTTTTTCTTTTCCTCGGATTTATTTTCTTCAGGACTTTTTTTACTGAGATCTTATTTCCTGAGACTTTATTGGCAGCCCCCATACTATTTTAGGAAAAAAAGTCCCAGGAATCCAAAACACAGGACTTTATTTCCAGTGACATTTTTACCAAGGACTTGAGAAAATTCGGACTTTTTTCCAAAGTTTTTATTTCCAAGTTTTTTTTCAGAAACTTTTTTTCCCGGGACTTTCTTACATAGATTCAAAGTTTCTCCCCCTGAAAAATGTTGGACACCCGGTTTTAGAATGAATTAAACCAGTTTTATTGTTTAAAGTATCTCTATATATTTTAGGATAATTCAAGTAAATGTCCAGAGCTTAGAATTAAATTCCTTGGAAAATCTCTAGGCCGAAATACTTTAAAGGGACTGTCACGTAAATTCAAGTGAATCTCCAATTAAAGAGGTTCCTTCAAACCTTCCTCTGCACAAAAACGATATAGGTGGTTAGTTAATTAAGCTTCACGGGCAGCCGTAATACATTTGAATTTCCGAGGCGGGTTAACCTTTCCGGTCCCAGTTTGTACTGTGTTGCCCGGACATTGGGTAAATAAAACAGACACTCAATATGACTAGCCGGTGAAACAAGGTTGGCGCGGTCAGACATTAGGTTGAATTTACTTTTACTAAATGGTCAGAGGTGCGTGGCTTAGCATAAATTTGTTAACATCATGTGTATTTTTACCTACCGTCCTACCTACCTAGCTACTGGCCGTCCAGATTCTTATTTCCTCATGAGGATTTATCTTTGTGATAATTATCAATTGTAAAAATATACATATTATCTTCCTGTAAATATAAGATTTGATTTGATTTGAAGATATCCTTGTTATGAGAATCCATATTTTAAAAACAAATATATTTCTACTAGATATAAGGCGAAGGTTTAATTCATGCAACACTACTGGGACGGATTTGGAACCTCGTATTCTTGTTTTGATTTTACGTGCTAAATAAATTCTTTCCAATGTGGCCAATGGCATTTTTAAAACTAAATTGCATAAGTTTTTATTTATTATGTTTTTGAGTTCATTGAACAAAAACCTACTAAACGCCGCTTTAAAGTTATTTGTATGCATTCGGTTTTTGGTTGAGAAAACCTGTATCAGTGTTCATAGAACCGATAAATTAATCTTTTATCTAAATTTGTAAAAAGTGATTAAAACAAATATTTACATAGTTAAAACATTTTAGTACAATGTACATTATATTATGTACCGATATAATCATTTGCATTCAAAGAGAATAGAATATATATTGGAGTGGAATTTAGACAATCCCTCGGTATGAATTTTGTCACTCCCTTTCAGCCTGAAAGGGAGTTCAAAGTGTACAAATCATGTAAATGTTTACAAATTATATGCAGTAGAGTACATTAATAAAGTATGTTCCCTAGACTAACAATATCAATTTCGAATTTTTTAAAGCTGTTAAATAATTTTATAAAATGAATTAGGTGAATAAAAAACATCATTTGATTTATAGCTATTACAGAAAATCATCGTTTGTAAAGTGAAAGGCATAGAGTCTATGTGAAATGATCATTGGGCAATTATGAAACCAGCCTACTTCATAATTTGGTTTTATTTTAATATTAATTTTAGATTTTCTATAAAATTATGTTCCAGGGAATCCAGGGCCCAAAAGGTTATATATGTGAAGTGTACCTGCAGTATGGAAACATTACAACAAATTGGCCGTTTTACACTTTTTTCTAGTAAATTCCACTCTAATATATATTCTATTCTCATAGTTTGCATTGCATTTAATCAGTTACATATATGAATTTGGTTTTTGGTCCAAAAAACCTGCATATAAAATTTAACTCCTTCTGGCATTTTAAAAATCCAGAAAAATTTGAAAAAAGTGATAACTAATATTTTCTTTTTCAATGTTTACCTATTTAGAGCATTTGTGTACAATGAACATTATATGATGATTTACAGAGTAGTTTAGTGGTTAATGGTCTGAGTATTGACAATATAATCATTACATCCACTCTACATACTCTACACTATACACATTCATACATAATATACAATTTGTATTCTTCTTTATTTATAGCAAGTAAAGTGCTTTAAAGTCTACACATAAGAAGTAGACCCTCGTATTTAAAAGCGATCAAGAACAATACGAATAATTCAGAAAAAGAAACATTGGAATCTGCTCTAACTGATTTTCAAGTCAGACCTCAGATCGAGTACTTCCTGATGCATACTTGTATTATCAAACCAATTTAATTAGCAGTTTTCAAAATCATATAACGATCATACCCAACCTTTCCTTTCTTGATTGCAAAAAAATGACCTGTGTCATCAGAGAAAAATGTTAATGTGTCTCCACTTTGCAATAGTGCGTCTAAAATTCCTTGGAATATTCTAGGAATCTCCTCATTTTACGTAAGCCCCCCTACCACCCTACCCCCTCACTACCCATCCTTATAAACTGTATTCTTGTTGAAGGACAAATTTGGTCGGAAGGAATGGTCAAAACTCAAAACCTTCTTTTGCTCTGTCTCGAAAATTTACAGAATACAAGGACTAAAACATCTGGATCTATTTCAGTTAGATCTGTTTCCTCTAGATCTATATCCTTGAGATCTGTTTCCTATTATATCTGTTTCCTCTGGATCTGTTTCCTCTAGATCTGTTTTCTCTAGATACGTTTGCTTGAGATCTGTTTCCTCTAGATCTATTTTCTTGAGATATGTTTCCTTTATATCAGTTTCCTTTAAATCGGTTTTCTCAATATCTGTTTCCTTTAGATCTGTTTCCTTATATCTGTTTCCAATTTAGATCTGCTTTCTTTATATCTGTTTCCTTAAGATCAGTTTCCTCTATTTCTGTTTCCTCTAAATCTGTTTCTTCTTGATCAATTTCTTCTAGATCTGTTTTCTCCAGATCTGTTTTCTCTAGATCTGTTTCTTCTAGATCTGCTTCCTCTATGTCTGTTTCCTCTAGATCTGTTTCTCTAGCTCTGTTTCCTCTAGACCTGTTTCCTCTAGATCTGTTTCCTTTAGATCTGTTTCCTCTAGCTATGTTTTCTATAGATCTATTTCCTCTAGATCTGATTCCTCTAGATCTGTTTCCTCTAAATCTGATTCCTCTCGGAAACCAGTTAATCTATTTCTTTTCTATTTTAGATCAAAGTTTCCTCTAGATCTGTTTCTTCTAGAGTTTTATTCTCTTGGTCTGTTTCCTCTAGACCTTTATCCTCTTTATTTGTTTCCTCTAGATGTTCCCCTCTAGATCTGTTATTAAGGTATCTTATTTCAATAAGCTAGAAGTCTGGGCACAATATACTGTCCTTTATTCTTGTAGGTTTACTTCCTTCTGCATTTCATATCTAATTCTTTCATTCATCACTCTAACGCCATGAGATTTGACCCAGCGACAAATGATCCAGCTTCATGTGATCCGGCGACAAGTGATCCAGCGAGAAGTGATCCAGCGACATGTGATCCGGCGACATGGGATCCAGCGACAAGTGTTCCAGCGACATGTGATCCAGCGACAAGTGATCCAGTAATTTGATCCAGTCGAAACAATCAAATTAGTCATTTGATTCATAGGAAATTAAGGCAAAATGATATTTTCCAAATGATTGAAAATTATCCCTTGATGAGTATTTTCTCACTGCTCAGGTATGTTCAATAGAACATTGAGCTCTTCTTTCCTGGTTCTTGTTTTTGCTGGACATTGGAGACGCATATATATTCAAGAAATTACCAGAATACAGCATTGCCTTGATTCGATCATTTGTTATAGATGTAATTTTGAGAGCTAAACTAAAACATCCTCTTTTCTTCTCCAACAAATTTCCCATTTGGATCCTGAATTCGCTCATTTCTAGTTTTTAAACCCACATCAGGAATATACTCTTGATCAAAATTAATTTTTTTTAAAATACTGGATCAAATGTTGACTGGATCAGATGTGTCGCCTGGATCAAATTGAAATTGGATCAAGTTTCGACTGGATCACATATCGCTGGATATAATGTCGCTGGATAACATGTCGCTGGATATCATGTCGCTGGATCACATATCGCTGGATATCATGTCGCTGGATAACATGCCGCTGGATATCATGTCGCTGGATAACATGTCGCTGGATATCATGTCGCTGGATAACATGCCGCTGGATATCATGTCGCTGGATAACATGCCGCTGGATCATTTTTGTGGCGCCCATCTCTCTTCCATTAGCGTATTTTTTCCGAAAAATTATTTTTTCTTTTACATTAGCTTGCGCGGTATAGATTAATTAGATAATTCTAAATATCAAAAATTTAAAAGTTTCTATGAATTTATATCTCCGGTGTTATTCAAGAAATAACCTTGTTCAGGTAAAACATTGAATTTAGTTTGTATATTGTATAATGTATATTGTATATCTTATTGTATATATTATAAGTAATGTATATTGTATATTGTATATATTATAAATATTGTATATAGTTTATTATAAATATTGTATATTGTATATTTCATAAATATTCTATAAGTTTCTTTTCAGTTTATGCAAATCTGCGAATCTGCACGAATCATTCTTAAGCTTCCATTGCAAATATTCTTTATTGAGGAGATTGCAATTTTTCTGTGACACCAATCCCTGATGTCACGTTACAAGATTCTCGCTACATTCCGCTGGAGATCATAATCTCGTTTTTGCAAAAATATTGAACTTCTCCGAAATGAATGGAATGGATTGTATACCAGAGGTGTACTCGACAGGCTGGATCAGTAAAACCTATGGTTTTCTAGGGTTTTTCAGGCCTCAACGGGTGCAGAGCCCCCCCCCCCCCCCGGAAATAAATAAATTCCTGAGTACGCCCCTGTTGTATAATTTCCAATTAAACAAAAATTGTTAGTTTATCTATATTCTAATTTCTATTAGTTTTCATATCTGATATAATGTTATGATGCCAGCTGCTCACTTGTGTTTAAAAGATGATAAATTGATAAGAGTGAGAACCAGGTTATTTTTGATGGTTCCATAAACATGCAATACAGCAGTGTTAATCGAGCCATTTTACTTAATAAGTGATTGTTAAGCAACTAGTAAAACTTTTTGCTTTGTAAAAATATCAAATACACTGAATGATTAATTAAATGTCGTCTTTCTATTTCACAGTTTTATACATATATATAATTAAGTATCCTGAAGATTGCAGTATAGCATGAAACATAATGTTGATTCAATAAAAAAATTTAATTTTTTGTTTTTAAGATTTATTTTCTAATGTTGATTAATAGTTTTTTTCTACATAAAGTTAAATTAGATTCTGAGGGAAGGGGGGCAAGTATATGCATACCCCCCCTTCCCCCCTCTTAGTGTTACGTCAAGTACTTGGTGAGACACCGCCAGGATCGTCCCTGGTCAAGGGAGGATAAAATGGTCAAGCAGAATCAACCCATGCCGCATACTCAGAACTCAGACCCTTCCCGCGCATATCTAACTCTCGTGGAATATTGTTCCGAGTTTATTGCACTTCCAGGGCGCTTCATGGGCGCTTTCTTCGCACTACTCACGCACGTAGTTGACAACAGTAGCGTGCACTGTTCATAAACCCTGCTTCTGCTCTATTCAGATTAGTGTTCAACAGGCAGAGGGACAATGTGGAAGGTAAAAACTTTTTAATTTCGAGGATACAATAAATAAAGAAAATAAAGTCTAAAGAATGTTCTGAAAAATAAAAAATATTATTTTTAAATTGCGTTTACAAAGGAATTGAGTATTTGTCACAAAAATAAATTCCTATATCTGTGCAACCTGATGGTGTAAACCTTAGATATTTAAAGCTATGTGTACATTACACAAAACATAAAAAGTTGTTTAAAAAATTAACATAGATTTCGATTTTAATAAACAGATATTTAGATTTTATTAAATAAAATTGAGCCGCGAAATAAAAATTTTTTAGAAAGATATCCCATTAAGATTAGAGTTAAACGATTTATTAGCATCTAAACAAGCATTGTTCTGTTGTCCATGTTTTGAATTTAAAAATATAGTTTTGAATCTGTAAAGATGGTTTTGAATCTAAAAAGATGGTTTTGAATCTAAAAAGATGGTTTTGAATCTAAAAAGATGGTTTTAATCTAAAAAGATGGTTTTAAATCTGTGAAGACGGTCTTGAATCTGTAAAGACGGTTTTGATTCTGGAGAGATGGTTTTGAATCTAAAAAGATGGTTTTGAATCTGTAAAGATGGTTTTGAATCTGTAAAGATGGTTTTGAATCTGGAAAGATGGTTCTGAATCTAAAAAGAAAGTTTTGAATCTAAAAAGATGGTTTTGAATCTGAAAAGATGGGTTTGAATCTAAAAAGATGGTTTTAAATCTATAAAGAGGATCTTATTCTAAAAAGAATGGTGTTGAGTCTAAAAAGATGGCTTTGAATCTGTAAAAATGGTTTTGTATCTAAAAAGAAAGTTTTAAATCTAAAAAGAATTGTTTGAATTTGAAAAAATTGTCTCAAATCTGAAAAGATGGTTTGGAATCTTTAAACATGCTTTTGAATCTAAAAACATGGTTTTGAATCTAAAAACATGGTTTTCAATCTAAAAACATGGTTTGCATATGTAAAGTTGATTTTGAATCTGGAAAAGACGGTTTTAAATCCTACAAAGATAGTTTTTAATCTAAAAAGATGGTTTTGAATCTGTAAAGCTGGTTTTGAATCTGGAAAGCTGGTTTTGAATCTAAAAAGATGGTTTTGAATCTGTAAAGATGGTTTTTAATCTGGAAAGATGGTTTTGAATCTGGAAAGATGGTTTTGAATCTAAAAAGAAAGTTTTGAATCTAAAAAGATGGTTTTAAATCTGGAAAGATGGTTTTAAATCTAAAAAGATGGGTTTAAATCTGTAAAGATGGTTTTAAATCTGTAAAGATGGTTTTGAATCTAAAAAGATTGTTTTTAATCTAAAAAGAAAGTTTTGAATCTAAAAAGATGGTTTGTATAAGTAAAAATGGTTTTGAATCTAAAAAGAATGGTTTTGAATCTAAAAATATGGTTTTCAATCTAAAAACATGGTTTTCATATGTAAAGTTGATTTTGAATCTGAAAAAGACGGTTTTAAATCCTACAAAGATAGTTTTTAATCTAAAAAGATGGTTTTGAATCTGTGCTGGTTTTGAATCTGGAAAGCTGGTTTTGAATCTAAAAAGATGGTTTTGAATCTGTAAAGATGGTTTTTAATCTGGAAAGATGGTTTTGAATCTGGAAAGATGGTTTTGAATCTAAAAAGAAAGTTTTGAATCTAAAAAGATGGTTTTAAATCTGGAAAGATGGTTTTAAATCTAAAAAGATGGGTTTAAATCTGTAAAGATGGGTTTAAATCTGTAAAGATGGTTTTGAATCTAAAAAGATGGTTTTTTAATCTAAAAAGAAAGTTTTGAATCTAAAAAGATGGTTTGTATAACAAAAAATGGTTTTGAATCTAAAAAGAATGGTTTGAATTTGCATATGTAAAGTCGATTTTAAATCTGTAAAGATGGTTTTAAATCTGTAAAGATGGGTTTAAATCTGTAAAGATGATTTTGAATCTAAAAAGATGGTTTTGAATCTAAAAAGATGGTTTGCAGATGTAAAGTTGTTTTTGAATCTGAAAAAGACGGTTTTAAATCTAAAAAGATGGTTTTAAATCTGTAAAGATGGTTTTGAATCTAGAAAGATGGGTTTGAATTTAAAAAGAATGGTTTGAATCTGAAAAGAATGGTTTGAATCTGAAAAGATAGTTTAAATCTAAAGAGATGGTTTTAAATCTAAATAGATGGTTTTGAATCTTAAAAGATGGTTTGTATATGTAAAGATGGTTTTGAATCTAAAAAGATGATTTTAAATCTGAAAAGATGGTTTGTATATGTAAAGATAGTTTGTATATGTAAAAATGGTTTGTATATGTAAAGATGGTTTGTATGTGTATAGATGGTTTGTATGTGTAAATGATGGTTTGTATATGTAAAGATGGTTTGTATATGTAAAAATGGTTTGTATATGTAAAAATGGTTTTTATGTGTAAAGATGGTTTGTATGTGTAAAAATGGTTTGTAAATGTAAAGATGGTTTTTATGTGTAAAAATGGTTTGTATATGTAAAGATGGTTTGTATGTGTATAGATGGTTGAAATTTGAAAAGATGGTTTTGAATCTAAAAAGATTGTTTCAAATCCAAAAAGAAGGTTTTATGATCAAAAGGTCTCTAAACCGATTAAAAGGTTTCAAATCTGAAAAAACCGTCTCAAATCTGAAAAGATGGTTTTGAATATGATAAAAATGTCTCTAATCTGAATAAAAGGTTTCAAATCTGAAAAGAATGTCTCAAATCTTTAATCCCTAAAAATTCTAAATCAGAATTGATGTTTCCAAAAGAAAATGACTTTGTAGTAAATTCAACTCCAAAATTGAAGAGTTTTTCTCCATTCCAATTTTAATTTAGGTAAATGAACATTCCGAATATCCATCCATCCATATATATAAAGTAGTAATCTTTCTGTGTCTGTCTGAATGTTTGGATTGGATCTGTCTCAAACTCAGTAGAACCAAAAAAATGTCCTTAGCCTGGATTAAAAATTTTATGTCGCGTAAGTTGACTTTTATAAGGGATGCTCCATGTAAAAATGGGTTCCCAGGCAGGTAAATATATATACATGAAGTAGTCCTTGTGTGTCTGTCTGAAGACAAAAATTTCAAGGATATTACTTCCAAAACAGTCTTTAAAAGACATTAATAATTTAAATATAGTATATACTATTTCCGATATTTTCAGAATTTGCGACGTTTTCTGGTATTTCAAGGTCATTCTTGTATTTTTCATGGGGTTTGCAACATTTCTCAGTATTTCTTGGTGTTTAGTGTATTTCCGATATATTTTTGTGTCGTCTAGGGACGAAGACGAGACGTAGAGGAAGAAAGACGAGAAAAGATGGGCGTATTGCTGAATATTTAAATTTGTCTGAATTTAGTGATAAACTCCTGGTTATCCTGTATATCTATAGGATAGGTTTTCAGTTCTCCGGGTCTGGTTTATAATCCATCCTAGATCTGTTGTTCTTCAGATTTAACAAATTCTAAAACATGCACGTGGTATTATGTTATCCATGATAATCGGACCTTGGAAAAGCAGGATGCTTTTATTCTGGACCTTTAACCTATAGGACGTTTTTTCTATATCTTAAACCCAACGGACGTTTTATTCCTCATCTTGAATCCACAGGACGGTTTTATTCTGCACCTTTAACCTATAGGACGTTTTTCCATATCTTAAGCCCAACGGACGTTTTTATTCCTCACTTTAAACCCGCAGGACGGTTTTATTCTGCACCTTTAACCAAAACTGCGCTTTCTTGAGATAGTAGGATGTTTAAACTTAGTCTTGATGATATTCTGTTCTTAATTATTACAAACAAAAGTTTAAATGAAAGAACGTTTTTTGATCCGTACAGTCTTACTAACAGACCGTTAGAAATCAGCGGGCATACAGCTATAATATCAACTAAACAGCGGGTATACAGCTAGAATATCAACTAAACAGCGGGCATACAGCTAGAATATCAACTAAACAGTGGGTATACAGCTAGAATATCAACTAAACAGTGGGTATACAGCTAGAATATCAACTAAATAGCGGGCATACAGCTAGAATATCAACTAAATAGCGGGCATACAGCTAGAATATCAACTAAATAGCAGGCATACAGCTAGAATATCAACTAAAAATTGACTGTTTTTATCCGTACTTGTACCTTTATAACGTTTTAAATCTGTTCGCCTTTATGAAGTTTTAATTAGACCTCAAATCAACAGGACTGTTTATTCCGTCCTTGTGCTAACAGGAAGATCTAATCCCTATTTCTCCTAACAATACTTTTTAATCTGTTTTTAAGTCCAAATCAAGGAACTGTTAAATTAAAAAAGTAAATTAAGTGATCTTGGTTTTCCTCAAACTGGAGGACATTGTACGGTCACAAACAGTGCAGGTTTCTTGATAAACACCCGAGGGATGTTGATTGATCATATTTCCAGGGAATAAACATATTTTCTGGCTCCAACATTTATTATTTATATTAATCCACCACACAAGATAAAAATGTGAATGATAATGGTATGTCTATGACAGAATGTACGTCACAAGAGTCCAGAGGCCGCAATTTAAATAATTTTAAATGTTATAGTTGAAACCAAGGGATTTAGATAAAAGTTTTAAACTAAACTTTTACCGTTGTGAATCAGGCATTGACACTACGCATGGCCGGCCGAGGGTCACTTGAAATTACGTATACATCCCCTTTAAAATATTGTTGTCAATTGTCCCTTTAAAATATTGTTGTCAATTGCCCCTTTAAAATATTGTTGTCAATTGTCCCTTTAAAATATTGTTATCAATTGTCCCTTTAAAATATTGTTGTCAATTGTCCCTTTAAAATATTGTTATCAATTAAACATACCTCACCCCTCCCCTTTAAAAGAAGTTGCAATATCAAATAAAAAAAAAAGATAAACGCATGTTTCGTAGAAAATTTTAAAATGGGTTTAAACCCCTTAAACATTTGAAAAGAGAAGGATGATACAGTAAACTATGTATCTCTATCTATCTGACCATGTCCAACCCAATAAGGAAGTATCTATACTCCTGGATATAATGGGTCAATAAGGTTCAGTTATCCACCCTCCAGTATTTAAACTGACCAGGAGGAAAATATCTAAAATGGTTGAAAATCCTCAATAAATCTTCAAGGTCGTGGCAACCATCTTCTTTTCAATTCAACATCTTCTCAGAGACGTCAAGTGGAATTCATTATTGGACTTTTTCATTCACTTCACACGAAACCATTTCAGACGAGACTGGAGATCTACGATAAAATTGATTATTTGTCGCAAACTCAAATTTTCTCATTCCTAATATTTGTAACCTTTATAAGATCAAAACTTTTGTGTGAAACAGCGCTAATCTACAACGCTTGATCTCGATATCCAATATGACAACTTTTAAATTGTAGGATAGTGAATTTAATCCTTTAACTTTAGTTATCCCTGCTGCTATGGGTTCAAAAGGAATATAATTTATTCTCTGGCACAAAAAAAATAAACGGAAAACTCGTGGTAGTGTGATTCACAAAATAAAAATGTTGATCCCTTGATTTGAACACTTGATGTTACCAACCTTTATTTTTGAACACTTTATTTCGTATTTTTTGTTATACTTTATAACTAAATAATTAACCATTTCTTGAATGTTTATTTATATTATTTTCCTAAAATATTTCAATATTTCAGATACGTGTCCTATTTACTACCGTCCTTATATCCTTAACGTCCTCAACTAAGCTAGGACAGGACAGATCCCTGGAGACTAATGAGATTGAGAATTCAAGTTACAACTTTGAGTATAAGGTTTAACACTTTACATTTCATAAACTAGATAATTAAGAACGCTTTGCGTCGCCTTATTTTCTTATTTTTTGTGTTTGCTTTTAAACTTAATCTTTTAACTGTAAATATTAAGTACCGTAGAGTGAGTGTAAACCTTCTTGATTTTTTTTCGGTTGATTACCAACCTCTAACTCTAATTTTCTATATCTTAGCAACCTGATCGTGTAATCGTTTGTTTTATTTAACTTTAATTGTTTAAAAAGACTGTAAGCGTAATTTCAAGAAACCCTCCATGAGAAGATGTCAATGGTCGATTCACAACGGTCCCCTTGAAACCTTTATCTGATTAATAATGTGGAAGATATTGTCGTTTTTCTTGGATTAACAGTATTAAATTCAAATTATTCCATTATGTCTTCCTGCAGTCGAAATGCACAAATCAATTTAGTAGAGAAACCACAGTTTAAAATAATCAGTTTTAAAAATTAAAAACACTGATATCTAATTCATACTTGATCAGACAAAACTGTTAATTATATACGGTTGTGAATCTGGTGCTGTCATCTTTGTATGTGGGGCTATAGTAGCAGTATTTTCGTTGGAAATATATCAAATCTGATCAGGTTTGTATGTGGGGCTATAGTAGCAGTATTTGTTGTTGGAAATATATCAAATCTGATCAGGTTTGTATGTGGGGCTATAGTAGCAGTATTTGTTGGAAATATATTAAATCTGATCAGGTTTGTATGTGGGGCTATAGTAGCAGTATTTGTTGTTGGAAATATATTAAATCTGATCAGGTTTGAGACGAGTAATCAGGTTCTCTGTCCCTAAAACGTTACGCACGTTCAGTTGAGAGAATGATTAGATATGTTATTTAAGATTAAAATATATCCATGGTGGAAGCTGATTTAGATGAATAGGACTAATGAAAAAAAAGAATATTACATATCAGATATGTACTATTCTTTTTTCTTTCTTATATGAGCGAACTGATTAAAAATATGTGTAAGGTAGCTGATGGAGATGATTAGGACTGATTAGAAGTGCATATTAGGTAGCTGATAAAGATGAAGATGACTGATTAAATATATATTAGGTAGCTGATGAAGAAGAGCAGGTGTATCAGCAACATCAGCAGACGATGGATAATCAGGTATTTGTATTAAACTTTTTTCATTGATCCTTGATCTTTAAATTAAAGGGACTGTATAGACGTAATTTCAAGTGATCCCCCAGTTTAAAAAGTTACATGTCCGATCCACATCGATACCCTTAAACTTTTATCTTGGAAACTAAGTTAAATATCGTTGTTTTCTATCTTAAATTCGAAATGCCATCCCTTTAAATGGAGGGTCACTTTAAATTATCTCTAAAGTCCCTTTCATCATCTGAATTCATCATTAATATTACAACAATAATCTGAACTTAAGCTGAAACCTTTCCTTATGGTATTTTATTCCTCATCTGAACCAGGAATCTTTAGATGAACGAAATCCGTTATAAACTAATCCTTTCCATTTAAAATCTCCAGCCCTTGTTCGAACTTATTCTTTTACTCATGCTTATGATCCAATTTCAACTTCTGTACTTACTTATCATATTTATCATTTATGATCTCATCAGAACATGCATATACTAAACCTATCCTGTTTTTATTTATGATCTCATCAGAACATGCATATACTAAACCTATCCTGTTTTTATTTATGATCTCATCTAAACATGCATATGCTAAACCTATCCTGTTTTTATTTATGATCTCATCAGAACATGCATGTACTAAACCTATCCTGTTTTTATTTATGAATTCAATTAAACATGCATTTACAGAATTTATAATTTATGATCGTCTCTGAACATGAATTTACTCAAAATTTCCAATTCATCATTTATGATCTCATCTTTACGAATTTACTAAACTTTTCCTACTGTTTCTTTATTTATGATCTCATCTGAACAAGCATTTACTGAACTTATCATATTTATTATTTATGATCTTTTTTGAACATTTATTTATTGAACTTATTTTTTGGTTCTCATTGTACGTAAACTGAAAAACCAAGGTTAACTCAAGGTTAGAAGTTTAATGGTTGAATGGTTTTAAAGCTTACTCTAAGTATGCTAAACTGTCAAATAAAAAGATATTAAGCTAGCTTCACTAGGTTTCAACCAGTTTATCCTATATAATATGCAATTAAAGATATTGCAATATCCACTGTATGCTAGAATATCCAATACACGAAATATCCACTGTATGCTAGAATATACAAAATATCCACTTCAAAATTATCCAACATTCGATCTTCTTCATTACCCACCCACATTTTCTCTGTTGAAAAAATATCCTATATTTAATCTTGTAAAATTCTCAGATTTACGATTTCTTCTTGCCAGACATTTTCTACAACTGCAAAGATTATTTTATATCTAATCTTTTTATTACCCAAAATATCTTAAATTTACTCTTTCTGAAAAATTTTGCACTTTTTAAAGTTGGGAAATCAGAGGAATTCTCACCAATAAAAGTTGACTAATAACTACCATCCAACACCACGTCTAACTAAAGTGAATTGAACAAATACCATCCAACACCACGTCAATCTAAAGTGAATTGCACGTAATATTTAAATCTTATGCGCTTTCAATCATATCTCCATTTATTAAAAAGCTATATTGAGAAGAACAAAATATTTTGAAATTCTAATATGTAACCGGATAAACTAATTAGAACGGCTACGAGGTCACAAAGTCGTACAAGTAATGTCACATAAGGATTGAGTCTTTGCCACAAACTCTGGTTTTCAAATCCCAATATCTTAACAACCCAATGTTGTAGACCTTAGATATTTCAAACTATGACTTCTGTTATATCAAACAATCAAAGTTTGAAATATCTAAGGTTTACATAATTTGGTTGTAGATTTATAGGTATTAGAAAATTGGGATTTGTTGCAAAGACTCAATTCCTTTGACCTTCTCCTTTTAGCTAGATCTCAGTGAATAAACAATACAAATATTTACATGATGAATTCATATATTTTAAATCTCATGATAATCTTGATTATTAATCTTGATGCATGTTTCCCTGAATTTAAGAACTGAAATAAGTTTAAGATTAGCATGAGTATAATGGTTTACTTGTGCTCAAGGTATTACTATAGAATGTATAAACTTAATACCCTATTACAAGCTTGAATAATGTTATGTACAGAATAAACTTGGGGATAAATAAAGGGGATTGAGGCATGATAATATTGTAAATGCAACTTCTTTATTTATTTTAATTAATTATCTAAGATACAGGATTCATTGTATGATTTAGAATTTAATACAATTTAATTACCTTTATCATTTAATGAAATCAACTTTATTTTTTACTTCTGCTTGTTTCAAAGCTTATTTGATCTATAGAAATAGTCATTGAAATAAGACATGTACACAAACGTTTCAAAAAATTACCTATAACACTTATTTTGGCCCCACGTGTTAAAAAGTTTTTGGAATTAAATTTTCTCTATATCTCGAAGGTTCTCGACTTTTTAGATTATATTTCGTCTCTCGCTATAGCTCGGGAAAAAATTAATTCTAAAAAGGCTTGAATCTTCTCGATAAAGAGAAAATTTCTGTCCAAACACTTTATAACACTGCGAATCAAAATAACAGTGTAATAACTAGTTATTATTGTATTTAATGAAATTTAATCAGTTTTATTAGAATTTGATAGTATTATATAATAAAATATTTAAGGACTCAGCAAAATTTGATAAAATTCTAAAGGATTTAATAGGTTTAACAGTGGGTTTATGAGACATGTCATGTATATCAATGCGAAAATGCATAATAGTAAGGTTTTGAATATTTGCAAATTTGAACTTTGTTAATTCAATTTATTACTGAAATTTTCACGCTAAACGACCTGATCCATCTGCCCGTAAAATATTTAATTCAGGGGTTTCAACAGAGAAATATTCATATTTACACGTCCGCCATTTTTCCTCTGGATGTACTTTTTAAAAGAATTGTCCGCCATTTTTCCTCTGGATGTACTTTTTAAAAGAATTGTTCTGATAATAATTCTTCTCGCTCCTAGAAAGCCAAAATAATATGAGGAACAATTGTAAACATTTCAATGGACGTTCTTAGATTTAACATATTTTAGCTCTTCTATTTAATTTTAAGATCTTTTCCGTTATTATTACTCACATAGATCCAGACTGATATGAATATTAAAAGTTGCATTAATTTTCAAAACTGCGTTTACATTAAAGCGTTGCAAAACCAAGGTCTAATATTTTTTGTTTGTTTAACCCTAGACATGTACTATTTAGAATTTCTTAAGCATTTATAGTTTGAGAGCTCTCCATACCATTATTTTCTTTATTCAATATTTAATATTCAATTGTTTATTGTTTTGGTCAATTATATTATTGTGTTTTTTTTATCCTTTGATTTCTCATTAATATTTCTTACGACTTCCGCCATGTTTCTTCCGCCCTTGTTCCATTATATTTCCTTTGCAGTTTATTAATCCCTTCAATATATATCAGGTAGTGACCGGTGAGTACAGCTGGGTTGACCCTGAAGGAACCCTGCACCTGGTCAGGTATAGAGCTGATGAGACCGGATATCATATTCTTGAATCCATTAATCAGCGCGGTTTCGTTAAGATCGTCCCCAAGCCTCCTCGTTCCAGCAGAAAACTGTTGAGGAAGGTTCGAGTTCTCAAATCTTCTCTAGGCTCACACATTCGTTCTAACGGGTTGTCTCCTGCTCCTTTGCGGAGAAAGGTTCGAGTTCTTCGTCCTGCTTCCTCCAGGACTATTCAGCAGGTGGCACCTGCTCCTGAACCTTTCTTAGCTGCTCCTCCTCCCAGAGAACAGGATCTAGTTCCACAAGCAGAGTTTGATTTGACAGCTTAGACTGAACCTGAGAATTAAAATGTCATGAATAAAAACCAAATTAAGTATTTTCCTTCCACACTTCCAAAATACCATATACTTAACTACTCTTCATATTCCAACCCTACAATCTTCAATGCTTCCTAACTTTCTTTCATCCTCCATCTCATCTTTCTTTTATTCCTATCCTTTCAATTATCAATATTCCCCCCCCCCCCTGCTTTTCATTCCTTTTAGCATTCATTCCTTTGGATTTTTGCTCCTGCCTTCCACCATCCTTCTTCCAACTCTTACCTCCATCCTTCTCCCACCTCTTACCTCCATCCTTCTCCCACCTATTGCCTCCATCCTTCTCCCACCTCTTACCTCCATCCTTCTCCCACCTCTAACCTCCATCCTTCTCCCACCTCTTACCTCCATCCTTCTCCCACCTCTTACCTCCATCCTTCTCCCACCTCTTTCCTCCATCCTTCCCCACCTCTTTCCTACATCCTTCTCCCACCACTGTCCTCCAGCCTTCTCCCACCTCTTTCCTTCATCCTTCTCCAACCTTTTTCCTTCGACCTCCAATACCTTCTTTCCTTTTTCACTTTCTATCCTTCTTAAAATATCCTTTCCCCACTTTCCCATTACAATTCTTAGCCGTTTTTCTCTGCTTTCCCTCCTCCCTTTCTATCATTCCTAGATCCTTCTATTCTAAATACATTTTACAAATAATTTTCCTACCTCTACTAAACTGTTGATACTATTTGTTTTGTTTTTATTATTTTACTTTAATGCAATGTATTTTTTTTATTTATTTATTACCTAATATTTCTGTAACCATCATCACTCATAAATAAATGTTATTTGTATTTTTTAATAAACATTTCGTAATATATTACTAGATATGCCTGGAACTACATACAGCATGTCCCAATAAACGTGGGTATTGAGAGGCAACTTGAAAGTCGTCTTGGATTTCTGATATTTAATGCATTGCCAAGAAAGTATTAAAATGAGGATATAAGTCTTACGAGCTTTTCAAAAGTTTGAAAGAGAGAGCTTTCCAAAAAGTGGCCTACCTTTCTTGTGTCTTAAAAATTGACGAAGATATTAGATATTAAGACAATTTTGATTTATTAAATAAATTGAAATTTGTACACATTTTTCAATATCTTCATCAATTTTGAAGATACAAAAATGGTTTAACTCATTTTGAATCTCAAGACCAGACGTTTTCAATATTGGATGTTTAAACTGAAATACTGCAATTATTGTGTTCATGAAAAAATTCCATATGGATCGAAGACGATAAAAAAGTCGTCACTTAATTCCCATGTTTATTGGGACACCCTATATAATAACATTATTATTAATAAGCTCCGTTTTCTTATCTATGCAACCTGTTATGACGATTTATTTATCTTAACCTAACCTGACCTGGAAGGGGAATGGGAGGTTTCTATATTTTGGCAGAAGGAGCGGACACGTCCAGATTTCCAGAAGAACTCTAAGGACGGGGCAAAATATTAATTATTGCCAAAATGAAAGATTTGCATATTGAAATCTAACTATAATGTTTGTAGATTGAAGTGGTGGTGTAGATTTAAGGAATGAATTAGAAGCAGGGATACACGACAAAAGTAAAGGACAGATTTTGACCATTTTGATCGGAGTGGAGAAGTTTTAATTTGCGCGCGATTTTAAGGATTTGAGATTAAAACTCGGTCAAATACCCGGTCGTTCTGCCATCTTAACCTAAATAACATATTTTATTGTCTAATTTGTTATTATAGGTCAGAACAACATGCTTTCTGAAAACATATAGATATCTAAGTCTGTTTCCTGTACGTATAGGATCGGAGGGTACCCAACCGACCAAATGGAATAGGAGCAATTGAATAAGGATGGGCTAGGAATTTATATTAATTGGAACGAAATATCGGAGAAAAAAATTCCGGGTTAGGCAGATCATGTAGTTAAAATTTGTAGTTATGGTTAAGGTTGGGACTGGTCCACTGGGAACTCAAAGGGAATGGTTGGGTGGAGATTGTGGAACGGGTCGGATGGAAAAACTGAAAGAAAAACTAATTAGAATAGGCATAGGAACATATTTAGGGAGAAGAGTGAATTTTAGTATAGTATAAAGGAGATGATTTCATTCTAGGAATGATGGGTGAGTTGGGTTAAACAGCTGCAGAAGAATGGACAGAAAATGGGATGAATTATAGAATTGGAAAGATGGTGGGATGGATCATGGTATGGATTTCGGAAAGCTGCAGTAATGATTCTGAATAATTAGTTAAACATTATTTTTCTAAGTAAACATTATTTTAAACAAACATAAAGTTATCGATCATTAAAAAGTATATTTATACCAATTAAGTTTTTTTATTAATGTTATTCGCCCTTTCATAGTTCATTAATGAGGCTGTAAACGCTACTTTAAGTAACTCTCTATGTGGCATGTCCGAATCCCAACGGTATCCATGCATTTAAACCTTTGACTGATCAGTGATCATTGAATGAGATATCTTCATTTTCTAGTTTAAAACCATGTCCGAATCCCAACGGTATCCATGCATTTAAACCTTTGACTGATCACGGATCATTGAATGAGATATCTTCATTTTCTAGTTCAAAACCATGTTTTTTTTTATAAGAGAGGATTTACTACACAGAGACTGAAGAATAATGTCAGAATTCATCTTCCTCAGTGTTACTCACGGACGTATACAGCTATACATCTANGCATTTTTCTGTACGGGGGGGCCGGGGGTTTAGCACCCCTTGTGGCATGAAAACCCCCTGAAATCCATAGATTTCACAGGTCCAGTGGGTGCTGAGCCCCCATACCATATATCCCTTTATAGCTGAATATACGCCTATGGGTGGCATAAAGCGCACGAAGGGCAAATGTCTTTGTCTACCCCCTCAGGATCTGAGAAGCTTCTAGGGTTGGGGAAACTAAAAATTCAGAATATTTAGTTTGGATATCAGCCGCATATGACGAATATGACACAATTTAAGGCCACAACCACACAGTGAACAAAACTACATATATTGCTAGCGCCATTTAAATATTCGCCTTTACGTGAAACTATGCCAAAAGAACGTGTTTCTAAAAATTTTATAATTTTCAAATTCAATGTTAACTTAATGTTTTAATACAGAGCGTCCTATATCAAATTAGATTATCTTAAATCTTTAACGCCAAAATTCCTTAATACTCAGAAACTTATCATTTTTCGCAAGAAAATTCTTATATAGCCTTATGTTATTTTTCAAAATGATTCATTCTAATTAAATTTTCTGATTAGTCACGAAAATCGCAATTTAGACCCGTTCTCGGTCTATATGATCTGGGACACCCTGTACAAACATGAGATAGTAATTAATAATTATTAACTGCTAGTTTTGACAATTTTGAAAATGAAAAAGTACAGAAAAACTCAGAATAAAATGAAAATCCATATACAGAATTTAAGTCAAGAGGGGGCAAGTTTTCAACCGGAGCACAAAATTTTTTAACATTTCTAAATCTTTGTCGAAACCGACATTAAACACTGTAACCTCGAAACCTCGATTCGTTTCAACCCTAGCTCAGTCATGAAGCTTTCGTCGTCTTCCATCTGAGATATCTTTTTAAATGTACTCAGCGGCAATTCTCAATTCATGGTGCACGTGTGGGTCACTGTAACAACCCCACATTTTTATTTGTGAAGGAAAACAGGGCTATATTTGTTACTTATTATTTGTGGTTTTGTTTTCTAAACTTCTAGTTATCGTTGAATTCATCTACGATAATTGTATTAACTGGATAATCGTTATGCATAGATAACAAGTTTACCGTAAGCATCAGCCATTTAAAGGGGGACCTTGGCTACGCACCCTGTATTTTATCGAAGAAGGGTTTTCTACTATTAGTGTTCTTGCGGTAATTTCCTAAAGAGATTTTTGGACAACTTTCTGGGCCGAGCGCTGCGGCCAGGATGGGCTAGGGGGCCGAGTGCTGCAGGCACGGGTTAGGTTAGTTAAGACTCTTTCTGGGCCGAGCGCTGCGGCTAGGGGGCCGAGCGCTGCGGCTAGGACAGGCTAGGGGGCCGAGCGCTGCGGTCACGGGTTAGTTTAAGTTAAGACAGTCAGACCCATGTACAAAATTGATAGGAGGGGGGCTGGGGTCCAAAAATCGTTCTCCAGGAATATACCCGGCGCTCGGCCCTGTAGCCTGTCCTAGCCGTAGCGCTCGGCTCAGAAAGTGTCTTAACCTAAATCTAACTATTTACTAATCTTGTATGTAGGACATGGAAAGAATTGACCATGTGGCCGCAGCGCTCGGCCCCCTAGTCTGTCCTAGCCGCAGCGCCCGGCCCAGAAATTGTCTTAACTAACCTATCCCCTAGCCGCAGCGCTCGGCCCCCTAGCCTGTCCTAGCCGCAGCGCTCGGCCCACAAAGTGTCTTAACTAACCTAACCTGTGGCCGCAGCGCTCGGCCCAGAAAGTGTCTGAATCTAACCTAACCCTAAATAAATAATAAATTTGCTGAAAAATAAATGGTCATGTACAAAATTGATAGGAGGGGTGGGGGGGGTCCAAAAATCGTTCTCTAGGACAAACCCGTCGACCGCTTTAATATATGGATGGAATGGCCTCTAGTCGTGCAGATTTTTACGCATATCTTGAAATTGCTTATTTTCGTGGATTCTATTACTGGATCAATGTCTTCCCGATTTCTCGTGGAAATTTTCAACTTGCTGACCGTTTTCTTTTCAGAAGAAAAATGAAGGAAATTAATGCTTTTGAGCTGGTTACGGTCCCCGAGGGAATAACTGCTTCCGTGAAATCTAGAGTAATTACGGTCAAGGGGCCCCGAGGAACTCTGACCAAGGACTTCAAGCACTTGGCCATTGATATCTACATGCCCAAGAAGGACACCATCAAGGTAATATTCTGAAGTTATAAAAAATATTGGGGGTGGGGGTTCTACGAAGTTTATTTCTTTCGTAGTAGTTAAGCACACACTTAATTAATTTGTTCATATCCTTTTTTCCATAGTTAACAGCCCAAATTTTACATATAACACATAAATAACATGTGTAGCGCCCTGGGCCATAGTTTAATTAAAAGACTTAAGTGTCGTTTAACTTCGAATGTCCTAAATGTTGTTGAAGCTAAAGGGGATGGTGGAGTTGGTACATTTGATGTAGGGAGGGGGCCCTGCCTTAATTTTTGGTTCAAATCTTCCAATTTTTTTGAGAGCTCATCTTATTAGTGTTTGAAATTCCTAAAATCAAATCAAATTGAACATTAATGACCTCCACAAAAAGAAAATATTTCAACTATGGCTTAATGCATATCAAACGAAAGCTAGGAACACAAGGAATACAGTAGCAGCAATAAATCCAGTGTTTCGCCTTCTAATGACCCCTTACGACCTCTAATGACCTAAATGACCTCATTAAAAGGTCAAACACTGGATCTGTTGCTGCTACTGTATTTCCTGGGTTCCTAGCTTTCGTTTGATATGCATTAAGCCATAGTTTGAAATATTTTCTACTTGTGGAGGTCATTGAAGTTCAATTTGATTTTATTTTTAGGAATTTCGAACACTAATTAGGCGTGCACCCTAAAAATTGGACGATTTGAACCAAAAATGAAGCCAGGCCCCTTATATCAAATATGCAAACTCCACCATCCCCTTTAAAAAAATTTTTCTTAAGGTACCTCAAGGCTTAACTAGTGAGCATGTTGATTTTGAGTAGATTCTAAAAACTCGACACCTCAAATATAAATATTATTTGATGTAACCCAGCATCTATATTTTATTAGAGCCCGTTTTCTCCATAGAAAGTGGTCGTGTAGTTCACGTACTTTGGGGGACGATATGTTGGCCGCTAGATGTCTCATTCTAGATTTATATCTGAGTGATAGCTATTTCTCCGTACATTTGACGACCTATATAGTAGACGTCAAGTTGTCGGCAAATGAAGTTCATGGAAGGAACGGCCTCTGATGTGTCCTGCAATATTATTGTGTCCATCTTATAGTTGTCTCAAGCATATTAATTTTAAAAATCGTACAAGTTATTTTAAAACTTATTTTCGATACTTAGGTCGAGAAATGGTTCGGTAAGAAGAAGCAGATTGCTGCTGTCAGGACCGTCTGCAGCCACATCAAGAACCTTTTCAAGGGAGTCACCCTGGTGAGTTCAGTTTTAAACACTTTCTTTTCCATTTACTACATGTTTACACGGCTACTCGACTGGGTCGCTTCGGAAGTGTAACAAGGACTTGTTTTGGAGTTCTTTTCTGTGACATTTAAAGTTCAGTGTTTGTGTTCATTTATTTCGTTTAAAAAATTACTGCTGATTTATCCTTAAGTTCGAGATCTTTTTTGTTAACTTGGGAAAGTTTTTAAATTTAAAACTCTTGTTGCTAGCTTTCTCTCCAGGTAGCTTTTGGTGAAGCCGAAACAAATTTTCGTTCTAGAACTTCCTAGTAGTTGATTTTTTGTGTTTTTATCTTTGTTTAAGTCTATTTATCACATTCAAAAATTTCAATTGACGTGCTAAACCTTTGAGATTTAAAATAAAAATAAATGTTGCAATTTTTTTTAAGTGTACGCGAAAAAACAGTCGACGCGTAAAAACACAGATGATTAGTTACTAGAATTGCGAGCCCTTTAAAATCATGCCAGGGTTTTATCACTTCTAATATTTTTATCCAATAATCCAGTTATTTTTCTCAATTCAGCTAAAATGTCCAATATATGAGAAAAATAATAAATATGAAAAAATTGTTATATATTTTTTAAACAAATATTTAAGTTCATAAAGAAGTAATATATATTAACAATCCTGTATTACAGGGATTCCAGTACAAGATGAGAGCTGTATATGCTCATTTCCCCATCAACTGCTCCATCACTGAGGGAGGAACCCTGATCGAGGTCAGGAACTTCTTGGGAGAGAAGTACATCAGGAAGGTCCGCATGGCCCCCGGTGTCACCGTGGAAAACAGCAAGGGACAGAAGGACGAGCTCCTTGTCCTCGGCAACTCAATTGATGCCGTGTCCCTGTCCGCTGCCCTCATCCAGCAGTCCACCACGGTCAAGAACAAGGATATCAGGAAGTTCCTTGATGGTCTCTACGTCAGCGAGAAGACTACCATCATCGCCGAACCTAATAAATAAATTTCCTGAATAAAGCGATTCAACCCGTTTCTTTTTTGACTCATTCTTGAATCAATCTTTCAGATAAAATGTTAATGAAAAATATTTAAGAGATGGTTGTTCAGAACAGTGAGGAGATGGAAGGAGTAGAGGCGGTAGGAGTAGGGAAGGAAGAGTTAGCTCGCAAATTATTGGATGGATCAGAGTTAGGTTGGATTATACAGAACTATAGAGCAGATATACCAGAGCTATTACATGCTGCTGCGAAGCAGATCAAAGATGCAAGAAATAAGGGAAGAGAAACATTAATTGATCTAAAAATTACGATAGAGTGGTGAAAACAATACGAGCGTAAGAAAATGGTTACTAAATCAAAGTAATGTAGAGAAATGTAAAATTTGGAATTTCTGAATGAAATTGAATATATGTCTACTTAAGAGAGAAAGTAAAATGAATGTTCGGTTCGGTCCTACGGCAATTCCGTCCTACGATACTTCGGACTTGCTGCAACAACGGACCTACGACAGCTGTAGGTTGGATGTACATTATATTTTGTTAATCTGACCTACGCAGGAAGTGCAGATCATCTTGTCAGATATTTAGTTGACAGTGCTAGCATAGGATCGATGTTCCGATTGTACACAAACTAAGGTAGGTCGAATGCACACTTGTAGGTCGGATGCACACTTTTATAGGTCGGATGCACATGTTTTATTGGTCGGATGAACACATTTTGTATGTCGGATGCACACTTTGTTTAGGTCGGACTTTAAATAAGGTTAATTCTGGGCCGAGCGCTGAGCATAGGACAGGCTAGGGGGCCATGCGCTGCGGCAATATCAAATTGACAAAGTGATAGCCAATATGTGAGGTTAGGTTGAGACGATTTCTGGGCCGAAACCTGCGGCTTCTTAATATCTGCATCAGACCTACGAAATTTGTGCATCCTACCTACAAAAGTTATGCATCCGACCCACTAATGTTATGTATCCGACTTTCTAAGGTTGTTCATCTGACCTACGATTACAAATGCAGTGCATCCGACCTACTTAAGGTCTTCATCCAATTCACAGTAGTGTACAACGGACATACAGTAGGTCAGATACACAAACTTTTTTCTATTGAGCGCAGGTAGGTTCGAAGTATCGTTGGACGGATAAAGCGTTGGGCGGGTGTATTACTATCCAATTTACATCTCTGAGCTGTGAGATAAGCTCTTTTATTACATTGCTTGTATTTTGAATAAGATTTAACGTGCCCTTTAAGGGTCTTAGTGAATGCATCAATTAAAACTGGGGTGATAAACCTTCATTTCCTTTCTCAACTACTGTAAACCATATTTAGAAGGGAAAATTACTATCGGTGAAATTTCGCTTTATAAGGAAAAATATTGGTTTTAGGTTGAGGTGGCTGTCAATAGCAGATATAAACCTGAAGTTAGTCTTCACCACTTTTTTAAACTTAACATTTAATTACATTGACATTATTTTAATGAACGGATATAAACCCTTACCCGGTAATGAATTTTAGGAACCAAAAATTACTCAAAACATTTTTAACCTTTCTCCATAAACATTTAATCTTACTAGACATATTTTTTCTCGACCAGTTATAAAATTAAATTATTCAATCCAAGTCATTCAACATACCATGTACATATTATCTTAGTCAGTCCTTAGGATCCAGTTTTTAATAAAAGATGGAAGTTAAAATAATTCGTCTTTTTTTCGGTTATTCTTTTTTTGGCAAACACTCGAACCAAATTAAGTTTGAGAAGGTTTTAATTTTTAAAAATTGAGTCGTAAGTTAAAAAGTTTCGATAAAAATCCATGTTTCTCTTTTGTCTAGTTCGATTTTATAATCCTTTGTGGTAACCTTGTGAGGTTCAGTGATCATCTAGTTCAGCATGTTGAACCCCTGATCCTCAACCTTGAACCCCCATGGGATACTCCCGAACCCTGCTCCAAGAGAGCGCGTGATGACGAGGAGAGGGAGGTTCAGATCTTCTCCGCCCTGGTCTGGTTGTTGAGGAAGGTGGCCCGCCTGAACGCGGCCTGGGATTGGTCAGGAGTATTTTCATACTTGACCAATCAGAACAAAGGAATTTGTCATTTTATTTCATTTTTGGCATTTTCATTTTATCTGGATATCTAGGGTTACCCACAAAGAATGAGACGACTGTATAGAAAATATGCAGACTTTTTACATACAGTTTTTTCGGTGTCAAATTATTGAGCGGACCATTTTTCGTACATATTAACAAATTCAACTTTCGAATTATTTTAGTTTAAAGTTTTGTGGTCGTCCTTTTTGTACCTCTTTAAATCCATTCAACTGTAAATTGCATTAAACACAAGATAACAATATGTATATCAAGTTATCTTGTATTTTTCCCAAATTTTTTTCATTAACTCCGTAAATTATTATTGTAACTAGTGTTGTCTTGGTACTAAACTTTCGCTATAAAAGTTACCCACTCAACTTAGAATTGGTAAACCAAGCATACAGTGATAATCAAAAAACTCTGGAAAAGGAAGTCGACTTTAAGACTCAAGTTATTCTGTTTGTTTGTATCCAATAAATGTCAAAACGGCTGAACCGATCGGGCCCAAATTTTTGTGGGACATCATGTGACCACAGGGAAGGTTAATGAATGATAAAAATTTTAAAAAAGGTGTGTTTTAAAGGTTTTTAATTTTGTAAAAAAAAAAATTTGATTCTTGAAAATCCGCGATTTTTTTTTAAATCCGCAAAAAATTTTCTTCTTTGTTTTAAAATGTAAACAAAAAGAACTTGTTCACAATTTCAATAGAAGATGAAGCCTAGTACTTAATAAGTTCAATAATATTACATTACGTTGTGTAACAGACCCATTTCACATAATAACTGATTTAATAACTGGCTAGTAATCTATTTACTTTGTAACTATATAAAATGCACTATTGCTCTAATGTCTTTCTTTTCTACAGTTCTCTGGGTATTATTGTACAAACAGACTAAAAGAGGTTATTTCTTACAGTTGCCCATTAACTAGCAAAGTAAAAGAAGTGGCTCATGGTAAAATATCTTCTTGGGGAAGTTGGTAGAGTGTAACATTACAGTGTAACATCCCACTCCCTAATTGAATTTGAATTGTTTGAATAAAATGATTGATTGATTAGATGTTTCTGTTATATGTCTGGAGATAGTAAGATGTCTTCTCCCAATATCCCCACAGAAGCTTAACAAACTCAGGTCCATATACGTATTATAAATCTGGGATCGAATTTAAAGAATTTGAACCGCTGGCGCTAACAACCGGTTCTAATTAAAAATTTTGAAACTGATTAAAATTTTAGTTTAAAAACGATGTTCACGCGGTTCAAGCTCTTTAAATTCGGCCTCAGGATATACAATCAAAAATATTTTTGACGTCTTTAATAATTTTTTTATTTTAAAAAGGTTATAAACGATTATTACAAACTTGTTCAATATTATTTTAATAGTATTACAGCATTCCGATTTTTCCCACTTTGGAATTCTTGGGTCTCCGAGACCCTCCCCGGGGGG